GACTGAAACCACGCCGTTGCTCCCTTGACGCATCTGCAACTTTCCCATAATTTATCCACAGCCACGACTCGAGTCAATCTGACTAAATTCTAAGAAGAAAAATCAGCTGATCTATACCAGCCTGTAAACCATCATGCTTGGCATATTTAGTTCTCTTAGATGTAGATTTCATTTTGTTGCTTTTCTCTGTTTTAGCTTTAGGCGCACATCATCATTATATGTATTTGGATGGTCGAACAGTATCAGATCAGTGATTTTTATAATGCATCTTTAAAGAATTAATGACAGAAACCCTGTAGGTGAGACACTTGATCATGATGACTGAGTTTCTCCTATTAACCCTGTTTCCAAACTCCCTCATTTCACTAATGAAGCAATCAGCCCGCTGGCAAAGGTGGGTACCTGTTATCCAGCGACATACTACTTTTTGGAGGGGCTTTTTGTTGCCTCCACCCTTCACTTACCCACTTCTTTGTCCTCACCTCGACATGCAGACAGGGAGTGAGAAAGGCCTAATTCAAAAAAAAAAAAAAATGCGTGGTCTTGCTCTGCTCTCTGCCCTCCACCAGGAGACAGAGTGTGAGAGAACTGCCAGACATCACACAGAAGCAGCACTGAAAAATACATGTATACCACTCCTCATCTCTTATTGATGGCCTCTCCTCCCTTTATGTTTATGAGGTGAGAGGCCTCCCTGTGGCCCTGACAGTGACCCAGAGGATCCACTGGGGTGTGCAAGAAACTGCCTGTTCCCTCTGATTGAGCCCTCTTTCAAATCAAACCACAGTGTGCACATTCTTCCACATGTATAAGTACATTTATGCTGTGCTGAAGAGGGGAAAAAAAGGCTGCTTTTCCAGAATTTGAAGGACCAGCTTTATTATGAGATTGCTGACCTTGGTTGTTAGATAGAGGAAAAAAATATATTTTTAAAGGTCTGACCTGTTGTGATTAAATTTTTGCCACCTAATCAGGACCGTGAAACTTCCCAGTTTACAAATATGAAAATGGCAAATGTCTCCTGTTGTCTGGCAAGTGAATTTCTTATTTGTCTGCATCCGTTTTCTTTAATTTTGCGTTTTCCTGCAGACGTGTAACATGTCAAGGCTGAAAAATAGAAAGACCACCAATAATTTGTTTTGATTTATTTTTGATTTATTTATTTATTTCCCATTTTCTCAAATGTCTTTGTCTAGACTGAACAGTGTAAGATTTACTCACTGTTGGTCCCAGAGGCATTTGTAGCACTTGCTGACCGTTGGGGGTCAGGGCCTCGGGCTGTTTTTTTTTTCTCCTTTTGCCATGTTGTTTGACCGGAGTGGTTGCAGAGAGGGCAGTGTGGCAGGTGAAAAAGCCTGACATAACAAGGTATTGATTGGATAATCGGCGTCATCTGATAGTAGTGTGGCTTACACCAACCCCTGCTGAGAACAACACTGTATGGGAAAAGTGGAAATATATTCTAAAACTTGACTGGCCCTGGTTTCAGGACAGTTTGTTAAACATTAAAAAATAAAATAAAACAAAAAACTGTCATTTAAGAAATGTCTCACACTGATAGAATAAAAAAAACCCTGCTTTTTTTTTGGGGGGGGGGGGTTGTAATCTACATCATATTAAACTGAAACATAATTGGCATCAGGATTTTACAAACATTTTCCTGCATTTATCAGAATAAATAAGTAATTAAATAAATAATAATAACAGCTAGCTCTATAAAGTTAATGCTAGCTGTTATTATTATTGGGGTGTGTCATGAACTAATGAATCTGTCTTTTAAGAGGACAACAGGCTTAACATATTTCAAAACTAGTTTGCATTGATTATTTGTGTACAATTAAAAACAAAAGATTCAGATTCAGGTGTCGACTCAGACAAAGCTCTGTATGGTGAAAACTGTTCAGAGTTGAAGATATGGGAGAAATTTCCTGTAATATTTTCAATTGGCAGACGTTGACAAGAAGAAATAAATAGAACGCAACATTACCGTTAATTCATTTAATCCTGCTTATTTAAAAGCTGCTAGAAAGAGTTGACTCCATGCCCAGGCTTGCCTTTGTCCCGCTAGCCTTTGTTACCCAGTGAGCTCTGATTTAGCGCTTCTTTCATTGGTCTTTGTGAATGAAACAGTCGCTTTATTGTGGGTGTTTCCATAATCTAAAAAAGAAAAGACGACTTTTCAAAAACTATTTGAAAGCTTTTACGAGTTACATAAACTTTAGCTAAAATTACTTTGTGAACACAAAAAAACTACAGCGTCCATCAAACTGCCATCATGCCATTGTTAATTCGTCTTGTGTACATTTTTTTCTTGTTTCTTGTTGAGTCAGGATGTTTAACACAAGAACATCCAGAGGTTGTGGGAAGTTGTCCTGAAAAGGCTAAAGAACATTTTTTTGGTTCTTTTTCGAAAAAAGCTCTTTAGTTATGAGCTTAGTTGAAAATATCAGGATTGTGATTATTTTTTTGTACATCACACGAAACCATTTTTTGTGTGTTAGCGACCTTTTTGTTTTGTTTTTGTTTGTTTTGCTGACTAACCAGTGAAGGATATGTAACACTATCAAATAATGGTAATTTAGCTATTATAATAATGCTGGAAACAAGGCAATTTATTGATCTCTTACCAGCAGTACTTTAGTAAAACATTAGCTTGCGTTTTGATTACCATACTTTAGGACTAATAGCTGGCTAGCAAGCTAGGTAGCCTTCACCAGACTAATTAATAAGAAACTTTTGCTGACCTAACTCAAATAACACGATCCAAAATGTTTGCATTACTGTTGCTTTAACGACTGAAATCTTTGGCTGATACCAATGACGATGTTTAAAATGACAATTTAGCTAATACCTAATGTGGATACAGCTTTGTTGCTATTTATCTCTTCTTTTTTTTGACAACGAAACAAGGACGTCTAAAAAGTCTCTCCCCTTTTTTTCATACTAGATTTGGAAGACAAGATTTGGAGTTCCTGGTGTATAGTGTTTGCGAAATTGATGCTTCGCAACATTAAACATCATCCTGTATGCTAACTGGCTGATATTAGCCTATTGCTGGATCAATAAATTTCTGTATCTTTAACTTATTTTCTAAGCTTCATCCAATTTTAGTGAAAAAAAATAGAGAAGGAAGGTTTTTTAAATACACTTTCAGTCAGTTTTTATCAGTGGTACTGAAGTTCTTGGTGGTTTTAACAATGCCAGAATGTATCGTCCTAAAACTACAACATATGCCAGTTTCAGTCAACATATTGGCATGTGTGAGATATTCTTTCTCCTCTGCAGTCCAGTGGAAGAAAATACAGAAATTAGATGTTTCAACTGTAGACTGTGTGTGCGTCTTCACTGAGTCGATCCCCCAGTTCTCCTCTCCTGTCTTCCTCCCTAACCCTCCTTGTGATCCGAGAGGAAAGCTTTCATTATTTGCTGAGATTGGGATGTCAATCCCCGCGCCCCTGACCCAAGTTTGTAGTTCTCCGCAGTCATATTGGGGAAATGATTAGTGGGGTTATCTCCCCTCCACTCCACGAGGCTTTCATTCCTCCTCACGGCCCTCTGTACCTCCAGGCAAGGAGCGGATCTCTAACTGGGAGGCTGCTGTTCTCCTTTTACTCTTTCTCACTCCCTCTTTACACTTACTGATACTTCATCATGTTCTTCATCTTTTTAAGCGTCTCTGTTCATTGCTGTGTCAGATTATTTTAAAGATAACCTCTCCTTTCTCTTCAGCTATTGGGCCAAAGGAAATTTTAGTGGAGTGAATGAAGTCGTGGGTGACTCTGCATGGAAGCGAGGACTAGCTCAGGCTAAAGTGTGCCTCGTTTTGCTTGCTTTTTATACTGAAGCAACACACATAAAAGATCCCTGCGTCAAGCTTTGGTTCATTTATATTTTTGCTGTGAAGACTAAAGCATTATGAGTCTTTTATATTTTTATATAATAGACTAGTTTGCCATGTTTTTGGAGAGATACAAATATATATTTTTAAATTTCTAATTTCTCTTTTATGTTCCAAAGAACAGGTTTAAAACACCACCCTTTGTGGAAAAACTGGCAGAAAAATCTTTAACATTCTTTGTTTTTAACAACCAAAGTCAAACACTGTGTTTGGATTATTACACACATGAGGATCTGTGTGTAATAAAGCGATTTTGCTTTGTTTTGAAACACTTGTGTGCTATGATGGCTTCAAACGTTATTCCAAAATGACCCAAATGCACATAGCATGTGGGATGGAGACTTTAGGGATGTGGGGATAAATTGATATAATTTCTTATCTGACTGAGCGCAGATATAATGGCCCAAATGAAAGCACATTTCGCTTGTGCGCACGAAACTGTAAAATTAGAGCTTTTCTTTTATGGCTATTGTTCGAGGGGGGGAAACACGGCAAATTAGGCCATGCGTTTCTTGAACATTTTAATTGATCTATTTTTCATCTTCCCTCGCGGATTTTTTTTTCTTTTTAAAAAAAACAAAACGCTGGCAGTGGATCGCAACAGTCTTACTGCAAGCTGCACATGTGCCTCATTGGTCCACTGAAAGAAATAAAAGGAAATATAAAAGCTTTCACATTACGAGCATAATGCAAATTACGCTTTGATTGTCTCTTAATTTCATCAAAAGGTTGATGGTTTCTTTTGTTTACTTTTTTTTCTTTTGAATTAATATTATTAGTGGGGTCCGTGGGATTAGGCAGAGTCACTGATCTTTTGGGTTTAAGCCTTTCCCCCCCCCCCTTTTTTTTTTTTTAATGTCAGTCGGGAGCTCAACGAGACTCCATCCGCACTTCATTAACCCTGAGCCCGGGACAATCCACGGTAAGAGCCGGGGGATTTACCACCAGCCTTTCACATGCAAAGAATAGAACAAAAAATCTCCGAGTCATCCAACAAGACACACGGGGGCTTTTGCTTATATAATCAGCTGTGCACTTTGCAAGTATCCCCCCCCCACCCACCACCACCACCTTTTTTCCCTCCCCCCAAAAATGACTCGTTGTTAACTGAATCGGTCACGGATCCTTGTGATGGGACTATAATGATCTTTTGGCAAGTTGGGAGGTGATTTTTTTCTCCTTCTCTTCACTTTCCCAGTCGTCAAAACCCGCCGGGCCGGCTAACTGTATTTTTAATGCAATTTTACGCATCATGAAAGCGCACGTTATCGGGCCGTCAGTCTGATATTTCACGGCATGGTCAGCCACTAAGTGGAGCCCCCAGATAACAGGTGCCTTGCGTGGAGGACAGCAGGGGGAGCTGGCTATCAAACCCATTATCGACTTTCAATTAAAACCTATTAAAGTCTTTTGTCTAATCGTTAACATCCTACATGCCAAGTCGTGTCCGTCAGCCTGAACTCCTTTAACCCCCAAAGCGCCATGGCCGAATAACTTGGGTCCACACAGACTTGGAGGATGAGAGTGGGGTTGGTGCATGGGTGGCTGATTGAAATTTGTAAGGATGAAGGGAGGGGTTGTGGTGGTAGTTGTGGTGGAGCCGCTGACCAGCTGTCCCCACGCTGATCCCCGGTCTGCAGTCAGCTCCAGCCCGGTCACCAGCTGTTGGAGCCGTTTGGCAGAGGAGCGCGCATCCAGCACCCTCAAGGAAAAAAGAAGGATGGAAACAATCAATTTCCAAATGGGGATCATTTAAGGCACTTAAACAATTGCGCACATGACATTAATATTTCATCTCCTGCATTGTTTATGGAAAACGAATTGGAGTCGCTGCTGTTAATTTAGAAAAGTGGGAATGAGAGAGAGAAAGCGAGAGGGAGGAAGGGAGGGAGGATGGCAGGAGACAGGGGCTCCATTTTGGACAGAATACCCTTCTGCTTTGTTGGCCCTCCTTTAAAGACATTAGCTGGAATTGATCTTTGATTGCACTTTTGAATGTGTGTGTGTGTGTGTGTATGTGTGTGCACTGTCCGCGTGCGCTTTTGTTCCTTTTGTTTAATTATCTGTAAAGCCCTTTGCTGTCAAAAAAGGAAACGAAACACCCGATGAGCGCAACTAATAATAATATTAAGTGGAAAAAACCGCACTAACATTTCCAGAGACGTCTGCTTTTTTTTTTTTAAAGATTAGAAAAAGTGACAACTGTCCACCTTTCCATTAATTAAAATCAACACCACCAAACCAAACAGAGGAGGGATAGACAGTTTTTTCCTATAACTTCTTCATGTAAAGTGATTTAAAGCAGCAGGATGCATCTCCCCAACTTTTGCTCAATAACACTGACATTCCTTAAAATGTATTTTTAATAAATCCCACTGACGTTTCGCTAAACATCAAACAGGACTCTGCTCATACCTTCATACTGCTCATACAAAATTCTTCTTCTTCTATGATTATTTTAATTTGCTAATATCCAGATTTCTATTTTCGTTTTTTTTTAAATGCCAAATTTTAAAAAATACTCAAAATGATTTTTTTGCTGTTTAAATAAGCTGTATTTGTTTAAAGATGCTTTTTGCTATGTAAGCGGGTAATAAGTTTTTTTTTTAAAAAAACAAACAAACAAAAAAACGGCGCATGTGTACACAGCGCAATCCGAAATAAAGAGTACCCCCCCCCCAAAAAAAAAGAAGCTAATTCAGCACAACACGATCCCCCCAAAAATCAGAGCTTCGAGCTATCGTTGGCTTCCTCATGGCTGCATCAGACTGCACCAAGTGTTGCTGCTGTTTTTGTCCACCTCGTGTAGCTTCTTCTGTGTGATGCCCCGCGTCCACGTGTTGATTCCACCTGAAAAGCCCTCCCGTCACACACTCAAGCAACCACTTGATTAAATGAAAGACTTTTATTTCCACATTTATAAAAGTAATTCTCTTTTACATCAAATCCCCCCTTTTTTTCTGTCCAACTTTTGCTGTGAATTTCACCAGAAAAAAGAAAAAGAAGAAAAAAAGAACTTCACGAAATTGGGGAGATAATTTGGGGGAAAGCTAGAGGAACGAAAATTTTATTATTAATAATAATAATAATAGTAATAATAATTAAAAAATATATAATTAAAAACGATCCAGGAGATATACGAGAACCACTCCACAAGTTTGATATCTGCAATATACATTTTTTTCACCAAAGGAGAGTATTAACAATTAAGGGTTATCACGGGTTTCATATGAAGTAACATAAGTAATCCACAATGTTCAAATACATCTATAGCAAATCAACAGGCGGTTACACCTGTATGCGGACCCGAGTCCAATCATTTATCGAAAAAAATACAAAATGAATAATCACTGAGGTGATTGCCTTCCCCTCTGCGGGGATCAAACAGCTTTTAAATAAATTACTTGACAACTTTACTCAGCTAAAAACTTCAACTAAGAACAAGAAAAAGACTTTTATAGATTTCTTTCTTTTCTTTCCATATCTCTCCTGTATATGTGCCTACACGTGGGTCCGGGCAGGTAGTCCATCCTTTCTCAGACAATATGTGTTTTTGTTTTGTTTTTTTAGTGTTTTTTTTTTCTGTATAATTTCTGATGGCTAATCTAGCCTATTATGTTATACTGGATCACCGTGGTCTGAAAGAGACGCAGTAACAGATCAAACAAACGGGAAAAAGTTTTCTTTTAAAATCAGTCTTTTTAGGTTAAAATGCAAAATATTCTTATTTACAGGTTCATGACGGCTTCACGTGTAAAGAAAAATCAATGACAACCTAGAAAATCAACGAAAATAGAAAGAAAATCCCTTCATTGTTCCGTTAGCTCTTCAAATAAGCTATTATTCAGATTACAGGGGTGGTTGTTCGTTTCCACCTTTTAAATAATAATAATAATAATAATAATAATAATAATAATAATAATAATAATAATAAAGGTCTAATTAGCATTGGAATGAAGGTCAAAGTGCCACCGACAAATGCAGTGTATCTGTTTTTTGAGAAAAACACTGAATACTGTAATTGGGTTCAAATAAATACATAACTTAGATGCTTTGATTCATATTGAAAAATAAATAAGTTATAAATAAAGTTCCTGCCCCCAAAGACACAAAGAAAAAGAAAAAAAACTTCCATACAGGCAGCGGGGGTCTCAGTCACAAAGGTCCGTCCGTCTGGGTTCATCGTGGATCAGTTTTCACCATTTAAAGGCCGAACAGTTTGTTTTAGTCTTAGTTTTCTTCGGGGTTTTTTTTTTTTTAACTCTTTCTGTCTTTGTTTCGTTTATTCTAACGAGTCCCAAGCTGCCAGGATCGGCGAAGGAAAAACCAAAAAAAATAATAATAATAAAAATAAGGAAAAATAATATCTGCAGGGGCCCGCTCACCGCTGCTGAGCTGGCCGGGGAAGCACGCCGCTCATAGGAGGCAGGGGAGGCGGAGGAGGTGGCGGCTCGCTGGCCCCCTGCAGGCCGTGGAGCAGGATCCGAGGAACCAGGGGTCTCTGCAGGGCCGGCGGGGGCGCCGATGGGCCTCTGTACAGATAGAGGGCAGCTCCGGGGTCCAGGTTGGACACCAGGCTCTGCGGGTAGAAGTACGGGGACGGGAACATCCTCTGCAGGGCGGAGTAGTTTCCAGCTTCGGCCAGAAGCTCGAGTCCTACCGCCGTCTGCCTCTTCCACTTTGTCCTGGAAGAGATAAAAGATGTTTTTAGGTTTTAGCTTCTTCTTTTTTTTTAAGTGTGGAGCATATGTATATCTGAATACGTGTCTCGTGTTTGACACACCAAAATATCTCCCATCTGTTTACCTGGAATCCAATTAACATTCAAGTGAGGTTTTTTTCTTTCTAAAATCACTAAAATCTCCAACCTGCCACATGTATTCACACCCAGCGATGTCTGTTAGGTTGCCAGTGTGCACTCCATGCAGGTGAATAATTCATACTAAAGATAATTGAGTAGATATAGTAGTTTGTTTGAATTATTAATATGCACACATGCAATGATACATTATTCATAGTCCAAAGTGTTGTTTTTATATTTATTTATGTCATTTAGCTGCCTCAGAGACAGACTGCAGATAAATAAAGTTATCTGAACCCAAAAGTATTTTTATTTATTTTACATTTGTTTCCTGTGCAGCTTTGCTAATGTATTTGAAAAGCTGATGTAGAAAATATATATTTTTGAGGTCAAGTGACACGTCTCCATTATGTGATGCCCTTTTAATTTTTTCTTAAGAGTATATAAAATACAAATATCCAGCACTAATCCACAGAAGTGCTGCCAGTCAGTAAGTGCTCCCGTAGATGTATACAAGTTAGAGCTGAAATTTTTTCTAATAAGAAGAAGAAGAACAAAAAAAAATAAAAAAATAAAATAAAATAAAGCAATTTGTCCCTCTACTTCAAACGTGAATGCTGTTTTTATGATTTGGGATCAGATGTCAGATATATTTAGTTATTCTAACATTTTATGGACCACACAATAAATCAATTAATAGAAAAAGGCAGGCTGATCACTAATCGAAGTTAATGGTTCGTTGTCGTCCCGCATTCACTCAGATATGAGGTGAAATCTTGCCACCTTCAGTTGGAAAACATGGCGTCCCGGGTCATGAGTCGGCCGTGAGAAACGAGATTAACCCCCCCC